AACATAACAAAGATGAGGAGGCATTATATGGTAATTGAGCCTGGGATGTCCAAATGTGTCTGTAATACAGAAACTAATAAAAACTAAACTTAAACTAAACAATAAAAACTGAAACAAGCACGCCCTCTCTGGAAACTACCTGAAACTAAACTGAATCCAAAACTTAAACTAACAACGAAATAACGAGAACTAAAAAACGATAAGTCTCCAACACGCAGCACCACAAATCTGCAGTGAGAGTCAGATGGTGTGTTTTTTTGTTTTTGGAATAAAAATATGAAGTACATTGATTAGTGAAGCAGTTTATATGACAGCATCAGTCCAACACCTTTTCAGTCATAATTTTACTGTTTGTTGTGTTTCATGTTGTCAATGGATACATCATATGTTAAAATGTGACACAGCAGTGTTTGTGACATAATGCGTTTCATGAAGAAAACATGAACCACTGATTTTGTTTTTGTTTTTTAAAGTTGGACAGCAGACTGTGACCCACGGGATTAACAAACTCCAGAAATCTCATGTCTCCGGCAGGTATTTTAGAGGTTTTTCGCAGTCTGATGACATTATTACTTTACAAAACTTAACAAAAGCCTCCCCCAGGCTTATTAGTAGCTAATGTGTAAAAAGGGTGGAGTGCTTCTTTAAGACTGCTAAACAGCCTTTATTCATGCTAGACTAGGAGATCATGAATATCTATAGTCTTCAAGCTCCTGCCTCCTCTCGTGTGCTACCACCTACTACTTTGATGCTGATTCTGCTGTTGTTTACTTTTTTTGCTTTGTTTGTGATACTAGAAAGCAGGTTTACAAAAGAAAGGCCAATGTTAAACTTAATTAGCAGCACTCTGTGAGTCCACATTTCTCAGTAGAATGAATTCAATGAATGTCTCATTCATTTATTACTTCCCTCCATAAAAGGGCAGTAAAATTGATATTTTCTTGAAATTGAACCTGAATTGTCCTCATTGTCATGTGAAAAGCCCTCAGAACATGGGAGACAGAGGGATTATGTTGCGTGGTTCCACAAAAGCGAAGAGACAAAAAGCTGACAGAGAGCTCGCTTTTTTTTTCCGGATAAAAATCAGTAACAATGCCCATTATTAAAACGGTTTCACCATTCTTTTACAGGAATCAGGATTGGCACAGTGAACGAACAGGTTCTGCGGTTCACAGCTCCACAGTGCAACAACTCATCGAATCCCCAACAGTGCTAGTCAGTGCAGCACCTTGCCCTGACTACCCCGTTTACTTTCTGCTAATCTGCCCTCTAGAATGATCTAAAATGTGCCTATTGAGCTGGTAACACAGGTTTCCATTTGGCAGTAATTGTTGGTTTTGTGCTGGAATTAAATATTAAAAAACATTAGAAAGGAAGAATCAATAAAGTTTAAATAATAAATGCTATAAACACAGTTAAAGGCTGTTTGAATACCCTGCAGTAATGGTAAGGTAATTAACTATTAGTGCATAATGTACTTTAAAGAGAGACACATTGTACGGAGACTGTTAATACCATTCATTATGATTTATGAGCTATAAATATGACACCAGCGCAGGGTCAGATAAACCTCAACAATCTATGACAAGTTTTTTGAAAATCTATTATTGACAGAGAGCATGGACCACGAAAAGTACTTATTAGGACTATTATTTATTTATTTTACATTTACATTACATTTTACGTTCTTTATTGCCATTTTAAGACTAATGAACAGTTCCAATAATAACTCCCCTGGCCTTTAAGACCCTACATCAGTGTTGAATTATGATGACAATGGCAATAATAACAAAAGCATATAACAATTTACAATAATAATAATGAATGAGGTACTTTAGTATAAAAACCAGCAGCTAGGGAGGGACTTGTTAAAAGGAGTTCGGTCTA